TTTCTTCCTGTTAAAAGGGAGTTTTTCCTTCCCACTGTCGCCAAAGTGCTTGCTCATAGGGGGTCATATGATTGTTGGGTTTTTCTCTGTATCTCTGAAGCGCCTTGAGGCGACTTTTGTTGTGATTTGGCGCTATATAAATAAAATTGAATTGAGACTGCCGGACACTGCGCCACCGGGCCCTCTGACCACCACCAATAGGCAACGGGTGAAGTGTCTTGCCCAAGGACACAATGACCGAGACTGTCCAAGCCGGGGCTTGAACCGGCAACCTTCCAATTACAAGGCAAACTCCGAACTCTTGAGCCACAATCAACAAAACAACAAGGTATAGTGTCAGAATGACACCGTCTTTAAGCTTTCCAGGGTGTCCACAACACTAATGACCTCAGTGGGACCTTTAATACCACCCAGATGTTTGAGAAATCATACCACCAGCAGGAATTAATTTCTAAAAAGAGTGAGGACGTTTTCATCAAGCATTCAGTAGTTTTTACTGTTGCCTCAAACAGAGTGTTTAAACCAACTAGCCACCAACGTTAAGTTATTAAGATTGTTAAATATATCATCAAGGTGCTCCTATCTTCTCCGCAGGCGATTACCACCCCACCTCTAACCCTGATTATATTGCACAGTGTTTCTCACATATGGGTTTCACTGGGGCAGGCTGTGCAAGTTTAAGAGTTACACAAATATTTCAATTTTTTTCTTGTGTCTGAGAAAAAACGCAGTCCCCCTGCTCTTATTCAGTTGCTAACAACTATCAATCCCTGTTGCTAATGGCACCCTTTTAGCAAGCTACTCTCACTTGCTATGTGGGAGTACTGTGCAGATAAATTATTTCATGCTAGCATTCCACAACTAAGTCAAAGTCAAAAAAAACTTTATTTATCCCCAAGGGGCAATTAAGACCAACCAAACCATGAAAGACAAAGTACAGTCAAAGAAATAATTTCCATCAAAGCCCTTCATCATGTAGCTTATCTGTGTAGCAATTTAATCAAAAACCTATAGATACCTTCTTCACAGTGTAAACTTCACATGCTTCATCCGAAGCACACTTTCTGTGTATTCACTAGTTAACTTCTAGTCACAGTACTGTGTTTTTAGGGTTTCGCTACCTTAGCTTAGCTCGTAGCCGACTCACTAGCAGCATGGCCTCTTCAGCTGTTCTTCCTGCACTTTCCTGCTCATTGAGTCAGATGTTCAGTTACTCCTCAACCTCCTTTAGCAGTAATGATACTTGTAATAAATGTAACCTATTTGCAGCTCTGGAGGCCATGATCACTAAATTGGAGACCTGGCTTCGCACCCTTGAAAAACCTGTAGTTAGGCCCCTGTAATTGATGCAGCTGAAGGTAGTGTAGGCCCCTCTAGCTGTCTCCTAGCAGACTGTCCCAAGTAGCAGGGGAAACAGGTCGGCTGGGTGACCGTAAGGAGGAAGCACAGTCTTAAACAGAAGCCCCATGTACACCACCAACCTGTTCATGTGTCTAATCACTTTTCCACACTTGGCCACACACCCATCAGGGATCAAACTCTGAAATGTGGATTATTAAACATGAGGTCTCTCTCTTCTAGGTCGAGGCCAAACTAACAGGCTGAGAACGCGGTGTGGCAGCAATTTTTCACACCACCTTATTAATTAACCAAAGACCAAGACAGACTTTTAATTCATTTGAAAGCCTGATGCTTAGCCTTGTCCACAGAGTTTACACAGAGAAAATCAGAAGTACCTCACTCCCTGGTATAATTCTCAATCACAAACCTTAAAGCAGGTAACTCATAAGTTGGAGAGGAAATGACGTATCACAAATTTAGAAGATCTTCATTTCGCCTGGAATAATAGTTTATGAGAAAGACCTCCGTAAAGCTAGAACATCTTACTATTCATCACTAATTGAAGAACATAAGGGAAACCCGAGGTTTGTCTTCAGCTCTGTCAGAGCTCTGTTGAGCCAACCATTCCTTTAATGTTAACTAGTAATGATTTCATGAACTTCTTCACATGCAAAATTTTAACCATTGGAGAAAAAATGACTCTTAATCATCTCACAAGTGTAACATTAGCTACAACTACTTTCTGTACCATGGATATTCATTTAGTGTCTTTTTCGCCAATTGACAGTCAACTCATCTCTGTTCTTGCCCCGCTAAACCTCAATGCAGCGTTTGTGACACCGTTTTGTAGACAGACTCAGGCGCAGACCAGGAGACCTTTGCAAAAGCAGACAGTGTGTTTATTTACAGTGATTTCACCAGGTGATAATATATACAAAGTGTTCGGGGGGAAGGGGGAAGGGTCCAAAACCACACTCCACTCTCTCGGCTACAGTCCCACTCCTTTCCTCCCACACTTCTCTCGCTCACTCGCTCGCTCAAAGATACAGGGATGGGTCCAGAGAAGATCTACACACACACAGAAAATCCAATTAGTACAAGATCGAGACTTACAGACTGAGACTTGCTGATCGCAGAATAACTGACGCTGGTGGCTCAACATTCCAGCGATGAGTAGTGATGAGTAGTGATGTGTCCTGTGTGTCGAAGCTTCGAATCGTGCGTCGGGCGTTTTTCTGAAGCGCGTATCGAGGCTTGCGATGGTTACGTATGCAGTGACGTTCGAGGCCTCGCGGGTAGTCCGTAACACGTGACTGATTCGGGAACTGGTTCACCGGTTCGCGCCAGATTCGAAATAAAATGGGCAGCAAAACACAGCTGATTCCCCCATCACATCGTGTTGTGGAATTGGATTACGTACATGTTACATAGTTACTTGAGCATTTCCTCCCTCGATGGAACCAGCAAGGAAAAGAAAATTTTCCCCTGTCTGGCAACATTTTGATGTCATCTCTCCTAATACACACTGTAATAAAGAAATGATAAGTACCATAATATAAATAAACCACACCACAGATCCTATAATCAGATTTCTGTCTTTTTGTTTATTAAAAGGTGATGTGTTTGCTGTGCTCTAAAGAACTTGGATACAGCAACAACACCTCATCTATGCTGAGGCATTACAGAGCCCTGCATGAGAACAAGGAGACTAACCAAGGTGGACCAAGCTTTTGTAGGTTTTAAGGATACAGTCATTTGATACATTTATATTCCCCATGTAATTCATTAATATTTGGGTTGTATTTACTGATATATGTAATTTCTTAATGTTTTTTTTTGTTGTATCAGGGGAGAGGAATGATGTGGATGAGGCCTTGGTCAATATGGTGATAGAGGATTCCCAGCCCTTCACTATTGTGGAGGACAGTGGGTTTAGGAAGCTTGTTAACGTTTTGAACCCTAACTATGTTCTCCCCACAAGGCGCAGGTGTGTATCTTAAAATATGAAGCATGTTTCCATTTGGCCTTTATTTCCATATTAAGTACTGTACCTTCTTTTGTTTAGGCTTTGAAAGCTATGGTGGATACAAAGAGTCCAAACAAAAAGAAAAACTGACTGTGGCCAAGGTTTCTGCAGTTAGTTTGACATCTGATATGTGGACCTCCATTAACACAGAGGCTTACCTAGCCGTCACCTGCCATTTCATTGACTCTAACACTGCATTGCATTCTGTAGTGTTAGGTGTTCAGCACTTCCCTCAAGCACATACTGCTGTCAATTTGTCACGAGTAACAGCAGCGCTCATGTCAGAGTGGGGCATTACAGACAAAGTTACATGTTATGTGACTGATGGAGCAGCAAACATGGGTGCTTTTGCTAAGGAACTTTGTTTGCGTCACAGTAATTGTGTGGCACATACATTAAACCTAATGGTCAAAAAAGCTCTTGATCAACACACGACGCTGTCTGACATCCGGACTACCTGTAGGAGGATAGTGGGATATTTCAAGAGCAGTACAACTGCTAAGGTTTGTTCCATTATTTCATTACTGCTTTAAGGTGCTGCTGCAGTAACACAGCTTGAATTAATCAGTTTGTGTTGGCTGTTTTTCTAGGAGAGGCTGACAGAGGTGCAGGAGCAAATGGGCCGGCCTGCACTGAAGTTAATTCAAGAGGTGGATACACGTTGGAACAGCACATTCCAAATGCTTCAACGTGTTCATGAACTCAGGGAACCTATTGGAGCATCGTTAGCTGGCCTGCACACTGATATTTGCCCACTATCCTCTGAACAGTATGACCTTATGGCAGAATGTCTTAAAATACTCTCCCCATTTAATGATGCCACCACTGAGCTGTCAGAGGAAAAGCGAGTGTCTGGATCCAAAGTAATTCCACTTCTAACAATGTTGCACCATGCACTACATGAAGAGGAAATGGGAGTTGTCCTAACTCCAGAGAGCTCCACCATGGTTGAGTGTCTAAGGAGACAATTAAAGGAGAAGCTCTACACATTGCAGTCAATGAGCATCATGTCACTGGCAACATTGCTGGATCCAAGGTTAAAAAAAATAGGCTTCTTTAGCCCAAATAAAGCAATGGATGCTGAGAAGAGACTTATTTTTGAATGTACTGCTATTTTGCGGCACGTGGCCTTCTCATCAGCAGCCTCATCAGCAGCAGCCTCATCATCAAAAGCTTCTCAGCCTGTGACTCAAGGTATATGAGCACATTTCGATTACTATATTGTATTTAGTTACTTACATTCTGTTTGTTTTAGGTAGCAAACTGTGGCATCGTTTTGACACCACTGTTCTGGAGACAAAGACCCCAAATGCTACTGCTGATGCAACAGCTGAAGTACAGAAATACCTCCATGAACCAAATATCGGCAGACTGGAGAATCCGCTGGAGTACTGGGCTGGACACAAATTTCTTTATCCAAACTTGTATAAACTTGCTATGGTTTTTCTTGCAACCCCTGCTTCATCTGTGCCCTGTGAGAGGATATTTTCAAAAGCAGGAGAAATCCTCTCAAAAAAGAGAAACCGTTTTAAGCCCAGCACTGTGGAAAAGCTGCTATTTTTGAATAAAAACAAATGAAAAATTTTCCCTAGTGTCATGAGCACTGTTATAAAGTCACAAGCACATTCACATCACAGGTCCCTCCCTTTTTGTTTCCATGTACATTCCTGTGTTAAGCTGCCAATTTATTATACACAAACATTAATTAAATTAATATAATATAAAATTAGTATAATATTAAATATAACTAATATTTAGAGTTCAGTTATTGGTGTCATGAACAAAAGTAATTTCTTTATTCATTCAACTTGAAGCGCCACACACTAGTTTGTGTCATTATTGAGTTGTACATGAGCATGATTACACAGTTACACAATCATCCCAAAAACTGTGTACTGATAGTTTCCACTTTCTCTTTTGTATCAGACATACTGAGACAATATTCGGGATAAATAACCATAAAAAACAATTTATTTATTCAGTTTAGAGGTTTATTTAGAGGTTTACACATCACATCATTATAATCATTGAGCCCGTTTCACTTGAATTGTCCACTTGATGGTGCAGTAGAGCAAATGAATCATCACAATGCTTCGAACCATGAGTCGACCAGTTGGATGGGAAGCTTCAGTTCATCATGAGGCTTCATCTCACCATCACTAGCGATGAGTAGCGCAGGCCTGCCATCTTAAGAAGCTCTTCTGATTGTAGCAATCAGCGACAGGTGTGATGATGAGCACAGGTGTGTGGGCCAGGGGCGGGAGCCCTCAATGAGCACTGCTGCGGCAAGGGGGAGAGGGAGAGAAAGAACAAAAATAAAAATGTGTTGCCTAATACAGGGTCAGCCAGTGAGGCACGGGGACCGTGACAGTTTGATACTGTTGACCATAATATTCTATTACAGCGATTAGAGCATGCTGTAGGTATTACAGGTACTGCACTGCAGTGGTTTGTATCATATCTATCTAATAGACTCCATCTCGTTCTGCAGGAATGTCTTAAAAACATTAAGACCTGGATGGCCGCTAATTTTCTGCTTCTTTATTCAGATCAAAATGAGGTTATTGTACTTGGCCCTGAGAATCTTAGAAATACAGTATCTAACCAGATTCTTACTCTGGATGGGATTACCTTGGCCTCTATTAACACTGTGAAGAACCTTGGAGTAATTTTTGACCAGGATATGTCCTTTAATGCACATATTAAACACTGCAGGCCTACTTGTTGTCCCTAGAGTATTTAAAAGTAGAATCGGAGGCAGAGCCTTCTGTTTTCATGCATCTCTTCTATGGTACCAGCTTCCAGTTTGGATTTGGGAGACAGACACTATTTCGACTTTCAAGATTAGGCTTAAAACTTTCCCTTTGCTAACGCATATAGTTAGGCCTGGATCAGATAACCCTGAATCCTCCCTTAATTATGCTGCGATAGTTATCAGCTGCTAAGGGATTCCCATATTGCAATGAGTACTTCTTCTTCTTCATCTCTCCAATTCTAGAATTAGAATTGGCTCTCTATTAACTCGAGACTCAAATTGAATTTGTTGTTTTAACCTTTAAAGCGCTGCATTCTGGCTTCTCTTTCCATGAAACTGTTTATTCAGCTAGCTAAACAGTTAAGTATTTTCAAAAAGATTCAAAATGAGAAAGTTGAATTCTCTTCAAGTTTAAGGAGTAATAACTCAACTGCGAAAAGTATGTGATCTTCTTTAGTTAGCAGAAATTGTCTACTACTACACATTATGAGCGGCCTCTTGTACTATGTGCTCTCTTGCTTCTAATCTTCCCACATTTCTCCCTCAGTTGGCATTATATGTTGGCAGGTCCCTTTTCTTTGAAATGCACTTAATTCCCTCAGGAAAAGATTTCAGAGTGGACAGTTCTGATCACAAATCTCCTTCTCTTCTTCAGTTGCTCTACAGTAGACTGCTTATAACATATATGCCACCCATTAAAGCTGCTTTCTTCAGTTGAATGGGCAAGGGAAAAGATAATGTGTGAAAGACAGGTGCCACCATTCTGACAAGAGAATTGAAACTTGAAAAATGCTTAAAGCGCTTTGCTCCCAGTGCATTGCTTCCAGTGTTTGTGTCAGGGTTCCTGGGTTGTTGACCCAGTGATTTCAGTTTGTTCATGTTCAGTTTAGTTCGCCACATTAATGTTCTCACTTCCTGTTTTTTCCCGTGTCAGCTTGTCTCCCGTGTCATTAGTCAGATTATGTTCAGCCCTGTACTCACCTGTTTCCAATCATTGTCATCATTCAACCTGTGTATTTAAGTTCCTCGTTTCACCAGTTCTCTGTCGTGTCATTGATGTACGTCTGATGTTAGTGTCGTATGTATGTTCAGTTAGCCAGCCAATCCTTTGTTCACTCATTCATTCATTCATTCAGTCAGCCAGTCAGCCAGCCATTTCCTCCCTCTGTACTGTTTGCTCACTCCTTCGGCAATAAACATCCACCTTCGCCTACCTGCCTGTGAGTCCAGCGATTGGGTCCTCCTTCTCTCGTCCACGACACTACTCCTGACAGAATGACACGACCCCGCGCTGTGGACCCAGCGGACTCTGAACTTTTCGAGCGGCAGGAGGCAGCGCTCCTTCGCTGGACGGAGGGGCTTAGGGGAAAACAGCGGCTCTTCGCTGAGAGAGAGCACGTCTTCGCAGGGACTCGTCTGGCTCTGGGCGGGCCTCGAGGACGCCGCGTTTTTCCGCCTGCTGCCTCTACTGCATCGGAGCATTCGCCGCGGAGAGTGGGTGTCGCAGGCCAAGCTTCGGCCGCTCGCTCTCCCGCTGCTCCGCTCCTCGCTCGCCCGCCAGCCGTTTTACCCACCGGACCTTCAACCTCGCCATGGCACAGCGGCTCCGCCTACCACCTCGGCTCAATGGAGGCTCCCGTGCCAGAGGCTCGGCTGCGTACCCCGCCTGCTGCCTCTTCCCGGAGAAAGCGGCGCACACGCCGCAATAAAACGGACTACTTTCAGCCACTCCCGATGGTGAGCTTCAGTGACCATTTTTCGCACTCACCATCTGATTACCCACTTGAAACGCACCATAGACTCCCTTCTGATTCATGGGGTGTCTCCCTCCTAGACGAGGACGTGGACTGGGAAGAGTTTTTCTGCTCTTCCCCAAAGACTGTAAATAGTGGTGGCAGAAAAACCAGAACAATCTCCAATAAACCTGCCAGTAACACACACACCGTCATTATTTCCACACCCATTTTTCAGCCATCTCCCACCAGCACGGGGGCCCAGTCTACGCCCACACCAGTGCCAGCTCCCAGGAGGAGGGCAGCTGCGACCTGGTCTACCTCCACACCCGCCTCTGTTTCTCAGGTGGGGGTGACTGGTGTCCAGCCACCTTCCGTGCCCGTCCCAGCGCCCAGGCTGAGGGCAACCAGAACCCAGCTTGAGCTCCCTGGAGGCTTGGAAGAGCTAACCGGTTCACCTGCTACGTCACCACTTCATCCACCTCCTGACCCAGCCTTTCACGCCCTCGCACTATCCCTCGTTAGATTAGCTGAACTGTCCCCTGCCCAGGCACCAGCCTTACTAGCCCAAGCCGTAATTTTATCCCCGTCACTAGCTCAGTCTGTAGCTCAGCCATTAGCCACACCAACCTCAGCTCCGTCGTCAGCCTCGCCTACCTCTGTTCCTCCTTTAGCATCTCCACTCCAGTCAGTTCCCTCACCTGCTGTTCAGCTTTCAATTCAGTCAGTTCCCTCACCTGCTGTTCAGCCTTCACTCCAGTCAGTTCCCTCACCTGCTGTTCAGCTTTCAATTCAGTCAGTCCCCTCACCTGCTGTTCAGCTTCCAGCCCAATCAGTTCACTCACCTGCTGTTCAGCTTCCAGCCCCGTCAGTTCACTCACCTGCTGTTCAGCTTCCAGCCCCGTCAGTTCACTCATCTGTAGCTCAGTCTGCTCCTGTCCAGTCCCCCGTAGTCCAGTCTGCTCCTGTCCCCCAGTCACCCGTCCTCCAGCCTGTCCCCCAGTCGCCCGTCCTCCAGCCTGTCCCCCAGTCGCCCGTCCTCCAGCCTGTCCAGTCTGTCGTTCACTCTTCTGTAGTCCAGTCTGCTGCCCAGTGCACTGTAGTCCAGTCGCTTCCCGTTTCCCAGTCGCCTGTCCACCATCCCGTTCAGTTCCCGGACCTGCAGCCACAGCACCCAGAGCCAGCTGTGAGCTCTCCTGCTCCTCAGCCAGGGGTTTCCGCACCCGCTGGCTCGGCCGCTCCTCAGCAAGGGGTTTCCGCACCCGCTGGCCCGGCCGCTTCCCTGCCAGAGGTCCCCGCACCTGCTGGTTCTGTCCTGTGTGTGCCAGGGGCTCCAGTGCCCACTGGTTCTGAGACCGTTTTCGCTGGAGGGCCCGAGGAGCCCTCAGA